CGAATGGAAATTGAACCAAAATGTCTGTATTCTGAAATAGAACAAAAACCTTTTTTCTTCGTTTTCCTTCCTCGTTTCCTTCTCCCACCCCCGTACCACGTCAAATGATGAGACAAAACAAAGAAGGAGATGTTGAGAAGAATAGGTTCAACATATATTGAAGAGATGAGTTTTTCAAGTGATCCCCATTTTCTTACCTCTTGTAGACTGATATTCGTCAGAATCGCCTCCATCGTCGCCATTTTCAGATACGATGATCAATGACGACGACGAAGGATGGTGATGAAGTAGAAGAAAAAGAAGAAGACGTTGACGATTTCAGATTCTCGTGATGACAGACTGAATGCCTCGGGCAATCTGCAAAACTCATTCAATTAGAATAGGCGAAAATAAGTGGGGGAGAAAGAATAGGAACGAAAGGGGAATTCGAGGGATCTAGAACGGCAAAGTTTGGTAGCAGAAAAGAAAAAAATTGTAATACCTGTAATAGAAGAGCCCCCTAACTTTTAACTTTGACCCAATTCATCTCGGTTCATCTAAAAGATATGGAAAAAAATTGTCAACGGATAAATTGTTTATCATAATATTTTATTTGTTGACACTTTTTTTGTTGATAACTCTCTTTTTGTTGATAACGACGGAGATAATTGACCTCAAATTTGACAAGGATCCCTTCTTTTTTCGTGGGGGTCTCTGAGGGGGCCTTTCAATTAGAGGGGGCACATTCATTTTTTGCGGCGCCGCTGAGGAGAGCACTTCTATTAGAGGGACATCAATTTTACGGGAAAATTTTATTGACTGGATTTCAACTGAGAAATAACATAAAATCGACAAAAAAACGACAAAAAGTTTAGAAAGGTATATTAGGTGTGCAAAAATTATACTATCATAGGTTATCATAGTATCAGAAGTGTTTTGTCAGTTGTCACATTTTTATATCTCTTACACAAACCGAGATAATTGAGCCCAAACTTGGTTTGACGGTAAAAAGAAGTACATGTTTTAAAATTGAGGTCTATCATTCAAGATTTCAAATTTCCATGAAGTTGAACAAACTGAATATGTAGTTCCGTTTCTGATAAAGAACATCATCTTCATTTTTTTTCATTTAGGCTCATTTCATTTCCGGAAAGCTCAAAATGCGATTAGGGAAGGCTTGTGCCCATTTCCTTGGCCACCAAATGCACTTAACGGCAAAAAAAGAACAGCGATACATGAAAAAAGGAAATAAAGGAAAATGAGCCCTCGATTTGGTGTAGATTTGTTTCTGTAGATGTTGCTTTTGGGGCCGAAGAAGGAGAAGGATAAAACAAAAAGATAATTGGGGAAAGGAGAAGAAGAAAAGAAAGAAAACGGGAGGATAGGTCATTTGCATAGATTAACGGGTTGATTTTAAACGGGCCAGATTTATTGAGGGCAGGAGGAGAGGAAAAAAAAGAAATACGGGAGCAACATGTGGATGCGTTGATTTTTGATTCAGGAATAGGAAGGAAGAAGGATAGAGAGGCGAAAGACTGATGAATGAGAATAAAGAAGAAGAGGACTGGAATTGATTGTTTTATTTGAAACCAACATGTAAGCTAGAGAGCTTGTACAGTAACTACCGTAATTCGTCTACAAGGAGCCCACCGAAATAGTCAACTTTGAGCTCAATTATCTCGATTTCTGTGATAGATATCAAAAAATTGTAAACATATGAAATATTGGTAATATTATGATAAATAATTTATCAGTTTACCGATTTTTGATACCTTTTACAGGAATCGAGATAATTGTGTTCAATGTTGGGAGGCTTCTATTAGATGGAATATGGTACTACAAAAATAAAGGGTAGTTCGAAATTGCTAAGGCTTCGCCTTCTGAACGTAATCGACTAAAAAGGGACTAAAACTTTAAATTCCCGTCTGTTAACTTCAATTTTTGGTTTACCTCAAGAACACCGTCGGTATTTTAAAAAAGTAAAACCTGTAATAGCAGAGCCTCCGCAGTGTAAAGTTTGAGCTCAATTATCTCGACTCCTATAAGAAAAGATATTCATAATGTGTCAACTAATAAAACATTTCTGATATCATAAGATAACAAAAAAATTATCAGTTGGCAACTTTTTTGTATCTCTGATAGAAGCCGATATTAATTGGGCCAAAGTTAGTGGGCCCTTCTATTGCAGGTTATGGTATGTTTTGCCGAAATCTGTCGATAGGCTTGATTATCTAATTCAGTTTTAAACCTTCATTTATTTGTTTATTTCTTTTTAGTTGATTCTAAAAACAAAACTCAAGGAAGTTTATTTTGTAGTCTTTTCCAATTCTCTCTCTCTCCCTCTCTCTCTCTCTTTCTTCTTTTTTATGACGCTGAAATATGCAATATATGGAATGTCCGTTGAAGTGCATTAAAAGGAGCTCAATATGACTCTCATTTTTCGTCGGAAATAAAAATTCTACAAGAAAGTGGAAAATTCAAACAGCTCCTTTTCCCTTTTCGTCATCTTTTTATACATCTTTTTCATGACCGATATCCATTTTTCACTTAAAAATTCAAAGAAAAAGAAAAAAGAAAGCGAACGTGAAGTTCCAGAATTTTAGATGAATTTATTCAGACGGAAGAAGGGAACGACACGTTTTGAGGAGAAGAAGAAAAAGAAGGAATTTCATATTTCAATATCCTTGATACTTGCAAAAACCTCTTCGTTTATACGAGAACGAAAATCTACTTTGGGTGAGGGACAGGGAAATTAGTGAGGAGAAAATATGAATGCGTTGCTGTACTTTTGACGGATTACTGTATTTTTAAGATTCTGAGATTTCAAATTCTGAGAAACTGATTTTCTGAGATTTTGAGATTTTGATATTTTAAGATTCTGGGATTCTGAGATTCTGGAATCCTAAGATTCTAATATTCTAAGATTCTGAGATTCTGAGATTTTGAGATTCTGAGATTCTGAGATTCTAAAATTCTGAGATTCTGAGATTCTGGAATTCCGAGATTCTCAAATTTAGAGATTCTGAGAATCTGAGGTTTTTAAATTCTAAGATTTAAAGATTCTGAGATTCGGAGATTCGGAGACTCTGAGATTCGGAGATTCGGAGATTCGGAGATTCTGAGATTCTGAGATTCTGAGATTTTGAGATTTGAAGATTTGGAGATTCTGAAATCCTGAGATTCTGAGATTCTAAAATTTTGAGATTCTGAGATTCTGGAATTCCGAGATTCTCAAATTTAGAGATTCTGAGAATCTGAGGTTTTAAAATTCTAAGATTTAAAGATTCTGAGATCCTAAGATTCTGAGATTCGGAGATTCGGAGACTCTGAGATTCGGAGATTCGGAGATTCTGAGATTCTGAGATTCTGAGATTCTGAGATTTTGAGATTTGAAGATTTGGAGATTCTGAAATCCTGAGATTCTGAGATTCTAAAATTCTGAGATTCTGAGATTCTGGAATTCCGAGATTCTCAAATTTAGAGATTCTGAGAATCTGAGGTTTTAAAATTCTAAGATTTAAAGATTCTGAGATCCTAAGATTCTGAGATTCGGAGATTCGGAGACTCTGAGATTCGGAGATTCGGAGATTCTGAGATTCTGAGATTCTGAGATTCTGAGATTTTGAGATTTGAAGATTTGGAGATTCTGAAATCCTGAGATTCTGAGATTCTAAAATTCTGAGATTCTGAGATTCTGGAATTCCGAGATTCTCAAATTTAGAGATTCTGAGAATCTGAGGTTTTAAAATTCTAAGATTTAAAGATTCTGAGATCCTAAGATTCTGAGATTCGGAGATTCGGAGACTCTGAGATTCGGAGATTCGGAGATTCTGAGATTCTGAGATTCTGAGATTCTGAGATTCTGAGATTCTGAGATTTTGAGATTTGAAGATTTGGAGATTCTGAAATCCTGAGATTCTGAGATTTCCAAAATTTTCAGATTCTGAGATTTTAGAATTCTGAGGTTCTGAAATTTTATGATTCTCTCAAAATTTCAGAATTGCAGAATCTAAAAGTTTCAGAATATCAGAATCATCTTATCTTACTTTAGTTTTTTGTTTATCTTTCTGTAGCTTTTTTCTAACTGTGTCTGATAACCTTACTGTAACTTTTAACAAATCTTACTGTATTTTCCTAAACGTTCTTCAATAAATTTTTCGTCATAAAATTTGTGGGCATTTTGTACCTAGATTCATTATAAAGCCTTTACCCTATCACTATTCATGATTTGTTTATATCTAAACCAGAATTATAACAAGGCTCTAGCTCAGAAAAAAACCCTCGAAGAATAAAAACATCTCAAAGAAGAAAACGAAAATTAATAAATGAAAACTGGGAGCTCTATCCTGGTGCACCAATGATTCCATTTCCTTCTTCTTCCTCCTGACTCCACCCAAAAAAAAGAATAGTCATTTCCTTTCAGAATGTCTAATTCATCTCTTCGTTCGGATTGTTCGTCTTCTTCTGCCGAAAGCCTATCACTTCCACCACTTGGTCCAGTGGCTCAAAAGAAACCGATTCAGTACATTGGGGGTAAGTGGGAAGGGTAATGGGGTGTGTAGGAGTCAATTTGAGACGACGAATCGGTTCTTCTGGATCTAATTGAGTCATCAAATGACTATACTATTTTACTCATTCCTTTTACAAAAGAGCCACGCCCTTGGGACGAGTAATTTTTCAGGTTCCGTCAAAGTCGACAAAGAGAAGGTTGCTGAATGGACGAACAAAATTGGAAGACTGTTCGGAACTTACGAGTTGAGACAGAATGTAACTCATCTCCATATGCAATTGATTCCAGCGATTCATACATTGAACAAGGTAGAGGCATGAAAAAGTGGGAAACCACAAGAGGGAACGAACACAGGTCCTGGGCGCGCATACGCATAATGGATGGGCGACGGAGGACGCGCCGATGAATTGGGTACAGGGAAAGGGCGCCGGTATGGGGCATATACGGGGCATATGGGGCACACCGCCGCCGCAAAGCATCTCCTCGCCTGGCTTGCTGGCACTCGATGAAATGAACTAAAACGTTGGTTGGGGGTTCCTAGAAGTATCAGTTAAGTTCTATTGTGATGCGATTTTGTTCAGGTCTTCCGATTTCGTACTTTTCCTTTATTATTCCATATTCTTTTATATATTGAACGACATATTACTGATTTTTCGAAACTCAATGTTTTTGTTTTGAAAAAGATATATGGCAGTTTCTATTTAAATTTGATATGCAAATTCATATTTTAAAAATACAATCAAAAACAGAAGAAAATGGGAAAAAATCGCTAAAAATTGTTTTGCTTTCATTTCAAAAAATATGTCTCACTTTCACTTTTTTGAAATTGCATGAAAAATTGAAAATTTTTATAATTTACACTTTGTAATTATTGCATACTTACCAACTTACCTTTTACTCCACCTGAAAATACGATTTTTACAATAATTACAAAGTGAAATCAAAAAATCTCAATATCACCTATTTTGGCGAAAAACTTCGCAATTAACGAGTGAAAGACATGTTTCTGCAAGAATTCAGCGATTTTTTATTCTGCCATAACTCTTTTTCACAAAAAACATCGAAGGAATAATCGAAAAACCAGAAATGTAGGCTCGAATTGACGAAAAATTGACAAAGTTGCTGGTGTGGATTTACGGTAAACAATGCGCGCATCCGGGATTTCGGAGTGTTGTTGTCGGCCTACCGTATCAGACCCATATCGCACACATCGCCCACCCACCTAGAATCCATCTAGGATACGCGCGCATTCGGAACACTCGATTCAGCCTCTCCCGCATCGCACACATATGAGACTCATCGCAGCTCGTTGTTCGCGATATGTGTCAAACGGACTTCTAGAGGATCGCATATGGATCGGGTCCTTTATGCGCATCATTGCCCAGGAACTGTGAACCCCTGACTTTGTGCGCAAGCCGCCACACCACATCCCCTACACCACACCGGCAACTTCTACACTGTTCAGATTTTGATTATATTTCAGGCATCGAAGTTCGCAAGTGAGAAGTTGAAGAAGGAGATGAAGCAACTCGTCGAACAATACATCGTTTTGGCTGTGGCGTGTGAGCAAATTTTGGAAAAAATGGAAAAGAAGGATGAGCATTACAATATTGAAGATGTTCCAGATGGTTCGATTCTTCTGTATCGAAATTTAGTTAATTTTTTTTTCAAATTTCAGCCATTATTCCGAAGTCGTGACGTTCGAGACAAGGATGAGCAATTGAGGGATTTATGTGTTCCGACTTGTCATTAAAAATATGATATTTGTTGATTTTTTTGTATTTTGATTTGAAATTTTTTTTTCCTGATGTCTTCCTGACTGTCCCATGGGTTAGGTAACCAGTTCCGAGTGATAGTTGAACTCATGATCTGTAGGAATTATCACATTCTTTGATACGTTCGAAAATAGATACATAAATAGGGACAAGAATTCGGAACATAAGAATGAGTCTGAAAATCAACTTCTTGAAAAGAAAGAAGAATTGACTGAAAATGCATTTTGGGGGAAATTAAGGCAGACAAAAATGATGAAGGGAGTGATGAGCGGGTTGGTTTCAAAGGCAGAGAAGAAAACAGGAAAAAAGGGGAAGATGGTTCATAAATACACATACAGTGACAATGCGGAACGGAAAAAAACGCCTCTAATATATAAGATGAAGCCGTTTTACGAAAGAAGAGGCAAGAAAACGCCAAAAACACTATCCGATGTTACACAAGAAAACCATTTGAGTTGGAGGATGGAAGGGGGGAGAGAAAAGAGCAATGAATGAACATTTTATACACTGATTTTTGATACCTCGAATGAAGAAATTTAAACGCAAATTGGGAGGAAATTTGAAGGTAGGGGGAAGTAATCTGACGGTAGATAAGGTAGAATGATAGAAGATGCGACGAGGATGACGGTTTCAGCAAAGTTTCAATGAAAGGACGACTCCTCGACGATGAACCTGAAAAATCTCAAAGATAAGTAGCAAAAAATTGAAAAACATACCTTTTCTAGCATTCAGAATACGTTGGCTTTGCGAGTCCGTTACTTGTAGCCCCGTTAGTGGTACTAGCTCTGCCGATGTTGGAAGCAGCTGAGGCAGGAATCACAGTCGCAGTTCCAGTAGGAGCCGTTTGTTGTGTTCCATTAATAGTTGCTTTGATAGTATTCCAGAAGCGGAAGATCGGTGGAGAGTTGCTGCGCGATTTCTTTTCATTTGAGTATGATGAAGGAGTTTGAACAATCAGATCGTCATAATCGAGAGTATCACAGGAGGAAGCAGAAGAAGAAGAAGAGGATGGAGACATACAGATACGATCCGAGTTCGATGAGGTAGCTGACATCATAATGCTTCCGTTTGCGGTACGGTTATCAATGATAGTTGTGCGAGAGTCTGAAAACACTCATTGTTTTGATTTGTTGTTTTTCAAGCTCTCGCCAGTACCGTTCAGCGATCGAACTACAAGCTTCTCTGTTGCTTCTTCTGCAGAATCCACAGATCCTCTTTTCTTTTCATCAACCGATGCTTGAAGTACAATTGGGGTGAGCCATTCTTGTGGAATGCATTTCTCAAGGAAAGGAATACTTCCGCTCAAGTTAGCCAAACGATTAATCCATCCTGGAATCTCTTTTCCGGTCAGAGCACGAGCCAGAACTGCGCTGAAGTGATTGCAGTTTCGAGATATCAGATGGTACCGATCTCCACGGAAGTCCTCTCCGAGTGCTTTGATCAATCTACGAACATCTGTTGTGCTATGTTCTGTCTCTCCGACGACAATCGACTCTTTGAATTTGAATGTTTCTCCGAGCTCTTCGGCGTCTTGTGGCGAGTTCTCAAAGACTCCAGAAAATTGATACGGGTGACCTCCATATGCGTATTCTGAATGAAGAATTTGCAATAGTGAAGTACAGTTATACGACTTACCAACTCCAAAAATCTCGATACCCGAATGGAAAATGCCGACGCCGATGTTGGATGCGTAGTCATTGAGCCAGTACATATCATAGACATTGAGCCGGACAACTGTTTTTCTTTTAGCGGTTCCCATCGCTTCCATTGTGCTAGTGGGCGAGTAGAGGCAACCGAATGCCGAGTATAACAAGTCAGTGCTGAAAATAGAGGAACGATTTTTCAAAATATATTGGAAGAAAATGATGATAGGGGGAAGAGAGGCAGAAAAAAAATATGTGAGGATGAGAAGCATGTTTAAGCCAGTGAGAACGTCATCGTGAGAGGATTATCCCGAAATTGGCAGTGAAAACAAAAAATAGCAAGGAAGCGATTCCAGTCAACTTCAGCTGGAACAAGATAATGTAGGGAAGCGAATCGGTGAAGCGAGAGCAAGAAGGGAAGCCACCAAATTTAGAGCTATAAGTGACAAGAGTAAACAAATAAGATTTATTGCACTTTATCTTGCAAAATTAAACTTATCGAAAAAAAAGGAAAGTCTAAAATGTTTCAGTTGCAGTTACGTTCCAACGAGTCAAACAACTGAAATGGGGACTATAGAAAAAGCAGAAAAAGGATGAAGGGGACGATGAGTGCTCTCCAGAAAATAAGCACAAACAAAGAAAAAAAAATGAGTCTCTTTTCTGCTTCTACTATGAATAATTTGTTGTCGGCACGGCACCTCATTCATTCCTCTTATTCTAACATAATTTTCAGTTATTAAATCTTCTTTTTCAAAAATGTTGCCGATGACGTTTTGAAGAAAATCTATTTTTACTGCTTCTCAACGGAAGAAAGTCGACTAAACAAGGTCAACGATCAAGAATGTGGGCTCAAGAAAAAAGAACGATTATTATGTGAGTTGTCGTTTTGGGTAGTAGATACACGCACATCGGAAGAGAGAAGAATGGGGCACTCGCAGTAGACATCATCTCACATTCACTCGAAACGTTTGACAACCATAATAAACAGAGTAGACAGTTATTTTAAACGAACGAATGTCAGGAAGAATTACCCGGAATGAAATGAATCTCTTTTTACTGAAAGAAAGATGGATGAGAAATACTTTAGGAAAGTGGGGTCATAAATTATGTGAATCCAGGTGGGCGGCTAGGCGACTTTTTGCCGTCGTCGTCGCATTTGAAATTCGAATAGAAGAATGCGAGTAAGTCAGTCAAAACTGGCTGACAGTCGAAAACCAAAGGTCACACTTTACATTTAAAAATATCAATCATATGATTTTATATCATTCGAAATCGAAAAAAAAACGGTGTTAATTTTAAGAAATGTCATCTGAATTTTAATTGAGAAGGCTGTCATTAGATTCTAAATGGGAAACCTGCCGGAAATTAACTGCTCTGTACGTTTCTGGGCAGGAAAAGCCAGGTCGTGTGCTCTAACCTCCTTGACACCCAGAGGGCAATTGACTCCGCCTTCTCTTTTCCATTCCCAACTACAAATGTCATTTTGAATGTACACACCCTCAACTGTCTGTGAACACTAATACTCATCTCTTTCTTCACAAAGTTTGCCTTCTCTCAGAACCTATCGAAAGAAATTCCAGTCTCACGTGCAAGCCAGGCAGTATGGCAAACACGTCCGCGCGGTAGAAAGAGATTTCCGCGCTTGCCTCCCCATCTCGCTGGTTTTCTCTTTCTCTTCAGCTTCTTCCTTCAAGGTCGGCGCAGTCTCTCGGATCTCACGGAAAGGGCGCAAATATTTACAAAAGCTTCACGTTTTCTCCGTGTACAGGGCGAATCGGAAGGGAAAAGGATGGCAGCAGCAGTGTTGCTGATGCCTCTACTTCTGCAAGAGCACCGAATTGCACAATGCGGATAGGGGAGCCAGGGTTACGGAAAGAGCACCACGCAACTGGAAAGTGTGCGGGGGGTAACAAGCTGAGGAAACATAAAGAGGCGAACGGTATACTTTAAAACTATCGGAAACATGATCAGATGGGGAATGAATAACGTTTTGAATCGAGTGAAAAATGAAATCAGTTGATCAACTGAATGCTTTCGCAATATTAGACTTTTTCCCTTCTTTTCGCAACGAAACGTTATGCGTCAGGAACGTAAAATAGTGGTTAGTCACCAAAAGTTGGTCGGGAATGCCGACTGGGAATTTAAGAATGTTCCAGATATGAAACGCATTGAGAAGTGGATGAGTGCGAAAGTAGACGGAAAAGGCATTGGCAGGATTATATCTGAGACGACATCTTCTGCCAACAGAGAGAAAAGAGAGAGAGAGATGGCTAATTATGTTTATGCCATCCTGTAGCTGAACGAAGCAAAATGGGAAGAAGCGAGAGAAGAGGGAAATGAGACATTTGAATGCAACGATCAGCTGTACCAGAAGAGGATTACTGCTTACTGCCGAAAACGAAGGACTGGTTGGATAACTTGAGAGCCTCTCAAGGACGGAAGGAATGAGAAAAAAAAGAAGACAGGTGCAGGACATGAAGAAGATGATGACTTTGAGAATAAAGCGATCAAAGAAATACTACTTTCTAGTACTAGTTAGAAGAAAAAAAGCACAATCATATGCATGAATCAGTCGGAAGACAGCATTGGAAGGGGCCAACTGCTGAAGAAGAAGAAGAAGCAAACACAGACACTCGTCAGTCACTCGAGAAGAGAGCATTCTGCACCAGAATTTGTATATTTCCGGCAATGAAAACCAAGCCAGTGAGAGTAGTGGACCATCACTCATTTCAAAGCTTTTTGCTATATACGCTACGTTAACTTTTTCTCGCTAACTTTTCTTGGAAGGAAGACCAAGTTGTAAGCGAAGGGAATGGATGGGAAATCTCTCTACACTTATCTCTATTCGTGTTCAAGAAGTCTCTTGGGACATTCATGCCAAAAAGTTTCCGAAATGGGTTCAGCGAAAAAACTATTTTATAATCTCGTTCGAAGTCTTGGGAACCGATTGCAAGCAGTTACAGTGTGAAGAACTAGTAGTGAGTAATAAAAAACAATAGAATCTATGGACTGGGTGCAAACAGCTAAAAAAGAATAACAACTGTATAGAGGTGGAAGAGAGAAATCGAAGAGAAAGATGATCAATTGGTAAACAAACAATAAAAAGATGTCAAGCAACTGATAAAATCGAAATTTCGAATCAGGAAGAAGCAAAGGATAAAATGAAGAAAACGAGCAAGGTCTAAACACTTGACAGGCCAGACAGGAAGAAAGGTTCAGGAATGCTCTCGTTTGAACCCAACTTGATGCTGCCTCACAGCGCTTTTTGCCCCTTTTCCTCGCCTTTCCCACCGGAAGCGCAATATCGAGAGAGCACGGCGATCGGGGAGACGCAGAGAAGCAGACGAGCACTCGTCGCCACACGCGCGTCTCCCCAGAACTGTACGCTCCTCTCAGATTTGAATCGATTGCGATGAGAAAGTAAATGGAGACATGACAGTATTGGGGGAAAACTAGTAAATAGGTGAAGGTATTCCGATTGTTATGAAAAAAAACCCGGAATGATGACGATAGTCATGTGTAATAGTTGAGAAAAGAGAGCGTTGGGAAGAGGACCACGGACTGCCCCAGCAATTCAGCTCATGTTACTCTAGTGGACCTTGCGGAATGTGAGGAACATCGAAGAGAGACACTGGAGGCATGAGAGAATGAGAATGAAAGAAGCGGAACGAATATGCCCACCGATTTACTTGCAATTTAACGACTATGAAGAAGAGACATTGGAGTGACAGAAGTTGACGAATTGGAAAAAAAACGTTAACTGAAAAATTTTGTCACATGATTTCAGAGCGATAGACTTGAATTTGAGTAGGTCGGGGAGAAAATAAGAATAAGAAAAAGAAGACGAAGAAAGAGAAAAGAAACAATAAATGAAGACTTCTTCCCCATTTACTCCTCCATGGGGCTTTTCTTTTCTCGCTGATTCAATTAAATGGCGCTTCCGTTTCACTACTGCTACACTCTCGTAGCTCATTTTCGAAAAAATCTTTACAAAGAAATCTGGGAAAAGTGAGGGATCGAATTTCGATAATACAGAGGAAGCTAAAAATATACAGACGCTGAAAAAACCTCCGAAAGGATATATTCTAGATTTACGAATTTTGAAAATTTCGAATATTTCTGGTCTGAATGTGACAGTGTAACAACGGAAAAAAAAGCAGGAAAACGAACAGTGAGGTGGTATCATACAAAACCAGAAACGAGATAAAAATCTTTGCCAATTGAATTTTCTCATACACGAAAAGAGTTTTTTGAACGAAAAATGGTTGAAGAGAGTAAAAGTGACCAGAAAATCTTACAGCATGAGTGAGAGAGATTCGGAGGACTCTCGAGTCGGAAATGAACAATTTCCTTGCGTTTCTTGGATGTTGGTGGAAAGAAATTCGGCGGAAAGTTGTGTGCATCGTACGCAAGCACTGAAACTGACGCGCAACTGAATGTCGAGAATTTCGAGCCATAAATTGGGTTATGAAATATTCAGTGGCGCACATGACTAAAATTCTGGAATGTTCGATAAAAAAGAATAGAGAAAAAGAAAACAAGGACCTTCTTATTTAAAGACAATCAGCCAGATGTTTTTTGAAGCTCGCATAAAATTAGCGCAGACAATTGTGGCTCCAAAAAAAGGACCCATTGAAATGCTAACAATGTTCCGCCTATTCAAATGCATTGACCGAGAAATTTCGAAAGTCGCTTCTTCAAGAAACAATGAATGTGAGATGGGAAACATTGAATATAAGTACCGGTCAGTTTTGAATAACTGCGAAGTGGGTCAAAGAACTAGGAAATGTTCCTGTTGCTAGAGAAGAAATTTGGTTTTTTTTGAATTAGAATAGAACATAGTGAGAATACAAACGAAGAGATATTAGAATACAGAAACAAAAAAAGAACTACAGATCAACCAAGAATATATTCATCCAAATTTAATAAAGCTCACCAGATTGTCATTGCTGTCCTGGTATTTTCTTCTTCTTGTTTTTAAGTCATTTGGAGGAGAAGCCGTAATACGAATCTGAAATGAAACAGTTAAAATAGTAGGGATAGAATTGAGGAATACGCATAGTTTCGCATCGAACAACATTATAATCCCTATGCGATTCCGATAGGTTGAACCGATTCTCGTTAATAACAAAAACGAGGTGTGTTCAATCAATTGGATATGGTATAGATGGAATAA